CTTGCTGAATTGCTACTTCACATTTTTGACCTCTTGACCCCAGTCGTTATTTGAGTGCACCATCCTCTCTGAAGTTGGTGGGGTGCACTGAAATAAATGAATGGATCATACTATCTGAATATTAACACACCTTCTGCACTAAGCACTGAAACGTGTTTTTGCCCAGCCAAAGTGTGTCAGGATGATCGACGCGATAACAGAAAGGGAATCATTATTAGGACAAAGTTTCACTAATTTAACTGATGGTGAAGTAGCATCGAAATCCTCAGTACAATGTCCTCACAAACGCTTGACAGGAATATTTAATTTTTAGTGAGATCTGAGCGAGTCCTGCAGATTGTAGGAACTGAACTGTCTTCTCCTTCTATGGCTCTCAATTAAAGAACCTCCATCAGAGACTTGAATAATTGAAGGGCTTCAATAACAAAACATAAGGACTTGAATAACTGAAGGGCTTCAATAACAAAACATAAGGACTTGAATAACTGAAAGGACTTCAATAACAAAACATAAGGACTTGAATAACTGAAAGGACTTCAATAACAAAGCATATGAACCCGAATAACTGAAGGGTTTCAATAACAAACCATGTCCACTGCACTTTTTAGAAAGTTTAATCAAAACCATTTGGTCTCTTCGCTCGATTTTCTGCTCCGGTGATAATTGGTCCGAGAACTCAACAGTCTGCGAAATGTGAAGGATTTGTTCCAAATGAAAATGAACTTTTTGCCATAAGTGGGTTAACTTGACCCTGTTTGGCCCGGTAGAGGGGTGTATCAGTGCTACGTACGCTCTCTGGTCGTGCTGTGGGTAAGAAAGTGTGTCAATATTGAACAAAATGACCCTGTCACTGCCAATATTACGATGTGGATTCAGGTAGCGTCCCACCAGACAAATGACGGTGAAAGGACGTTGATTACGAGTTTACTTGGTTGAAGCGACATTCAATTCACGTTAATTCAACGTCAAATGCCTGGTGAAGTCTGAGCTTAGCCAATAATTCTTTAGCTATTGAACTAAATGAATCATTGTATTTCACTTCGCCTGCAGTTATGCAATGGCTACTCGCCTGCAGTTATGCAATGGCTACTCGCCTGCAGTTATGCAATGGCTACTCGCCTGCAGTTATGCAATGGCTACTCGCCTGCAGTTATGCAATGGCTACTCGCCTGCAGTTATGCAATGGCTACTCGCCTGCAGTTATGCAATGGCTACTCGCCTGCAGTTATGCAATGGCTACTCGCCTGCAGTTATGCAATGGCTACTCGCCTGCAGTTATGCAATGGCTACTCGCCTGCAGTTATGCAATGGCTACTCGCCTGCAGTTATGCAATGGCTACTCGNAGTGTAGGGAGGTGATGTAGGTAATGTGAGTGTAGGGAGGTGATGTAGGTGATGTGAGTGTAGGGAGGTGATGTAGGTAATGTGAGTGTAGGGAGGTGGTGTAGGTAATGTGAGTGTGAAACGAATAAAGAGTAGTAATCATGACCCAAGAAATTAGATTTATCATCACACGACCAACGCATTTAAAGATTGTTAAGCTGAACGAATGAAACTTAACATTAAATATCGACGTTAACACGTTGACTACGCATTGGTACATATGCGTACCACGAAATGTATTTCTCCTGAAACATAATTCAGGGTTGCCAGATGGCCTAAAAAACGGCCAATTAAGTCCGTGAACAAAAAGGCCAAAAAGGCCTATAACTCAATATGTACTAGTATATTTGTAGGTTCCGGTGTAAAAATTCAATTTTTTATTTGATTAGGAAGCGCCCCTTACAACCCCTATCATAAATTTTAGCCGAAAACCTAAATTGAAAAAACTAAATCGTGGAATTTGTCCGGTAAAAAAAGAAAGTCTGGCAACCCTGTTCCATGATAGTACTAGAAAAATGAAACAAAAGTACAAGATGAAGCAATCGTAGTCAACGTGTTAATATGCGAATCGCAAGATTAAATTGTAAAATATTAAGCCAGCTTAGGAAATTTATAACCCTGAACTATGTAGTAATGCAAGTCCTTTGAATTTTTTTCTCACATTGGAATCCTATCTGAAAACATAAAAATAAACTCAAATTTAAGACTATTTATCTCTGCACATTTTTAAATTAAAATCAACCTTTTCACCGCGTTCTTTTATAATCTGAAGAAAAACATACCTCAATTTCTACATGCATGACGCGTGTCATTCATATTGGTGTTCATACCATTTCCTGATGAATGATTAAGAAATGGAAAAAAATTCAATTTATTTGACTTGAAATAATTGACGTCGTTGACAATTTACTGTCGGGTAATCAAAAAATGACAGGATATTTAAATTTATTTGATTGAAAAAATTGCGGACGATGACAAGCATTTCAAGTCCGCTACACTCAAGAAAGTAACACGTCATATTGTCTAAATAGTGACACACTTTGAGCACGTTGCACGTACACGCGCTCTTGCCGAGGCTAAATGGGTCACGACGAGCGGCACAAAGGCAAAAATGCATCGATTTTTTTGACAACGTCTAACTCATTTCAGTGAATGTAATTTTGAATTGCACGGCAGCACAAATGGAAATGTGTGATCCTAGCGGAACTTATCATGGAAATGGAAAATACGGGGCGGAATCCTGCTCTCCAATCCTGTTCTGTCTTTCTTGATAACCTTGCATTCCAAAAGAGGCATATTAATGAGGGCTGTGCCGCCAATTTCATTAGTATTATGGGAAGTTTGTTGAATCGCTGATCGGAAAATTCGTCGCTTGAGTAAACTTCGTTCCAAGGAAAGCTCCAGCGTCCAGCCAATCCGGGGACCTAGAAAATAATATTATTATAAATTTGTATTAAAAGTAGATAATAATTAAACATCAAAGTAGATAATGAAAAACATTGAAGTAGACGATAATTATTGAACATTGAAATAGACAATAGTTAAACAATGGATATAAAAACAAAACATTAGAGTATAAAATAATGAAAGATTACATTAAAGCGAGAATTCAGAGAATTCAGAGTTTCATTTAGTCGCGAAAACACAGAATCGCTTCATTAAAATCATTTAATTTTCTTTTAAGAACTGAATAATATTTTGTCTGTTCTGGAAATTTCTCTCAATATTTGTAGAAATATTTAGGAAAATGTTAGCTAAATTAAATGGTTTTATTGGAACTTGAATTCATTAGCGCTTCCAAAAAATTATTTTTAGATTGCATACGAATTATTGTAAATAGATTTAATTCATTTCATACAAAAAGAGTTTCAAAAAAATTTCGAAAATCCTGAATAGAGACACTAAGGTTTTTTTAATTCGAAAATTTAGAATGCACAAATTCTGAAACCAGAATTAAACAGTATTTTCAGAAATTTAGATAAGTCAATTGTAGAATTATATCTCCTTTGCAATGAAAGCCAATTATTTTCTGTATAATTATTATTATTACTTTTTAAAGGGGCTTGACTTTTGACATTTTGATGAAATCTTATTCAAGTTCATTCAACCTTAGACCGCTTACCTCTTGGAGCATGAGAAATAAATTATTCATTAATATAATATAATATAATATAATATAATATAATATAATAACTTACTTAATATTTCTCCATATCAGTCACCTTCAATCGCACTGCATCTTAGCGCTCCATTTTCCTTTAATAATTTTACTGCTCTATATACGTATTTAAGCTTTATTTATTATTTATTAAACATTTGTAGATCATTCATGTCCCGCATCTTGCAATCTTCAAGCGTTGCTATTCGTTAAATTTATGAAACGTAAACAAGAAATTTTGATTTCATGACCTTTTAGCTATTATTACTCTATTATTCTTTAGAAAGCAGCTTCATTTTATAATTATTACAGGTATTGCGAAATTCATAGCACAATAAGATTAATAATTGTAAACAAATGAATAAAGGCGGATAATGCATGCAATTCTACAACGGCTGCGAATACCGTAGAACTTGAATGTGCTACAATTTGAATAACTGAAGATAATTGATACAAGCACTAACGCGCATTTGATTTCAATTAATAAACCATCAACATCCAATTAAATTCAACAGAACTAGAATGTTACCGATGGCTTGGAAGTGTTGAAATATCAGTTCAATTCAACGCTACCTAGACAAGAGAGTTAATAAAATATAATTCCGTAAAAAAAGTCATGTTTGAATTACCATTACTCAGCCATGCGAGTCATGTTAAAAAACAGTTGCTTCACTGAATTATTTTTATGTCATTGATTATCATATATATAAATAAACTTATTAAGATTCCGAGTTGTATTTTTGAGTTTCACTCCCTTTCATTCCATGGAAATCATTCTGATCGTTCCTATTTCATGACTATCATTCCCATTCATTTCATGGGTATCATTCCGATCGTTCCTATTTCATGACTATCATTCCCATTCATTTCATGGGTATCATTCCGATCGTTCCTATTTCATGACTATCATTCCCGTTCATTTCATGGGTATCATTCCGATCATTCCTATTTCATGACTATCATTCCCATTCATTTCATGGGTATCATTCCGATCGTTCCTATTTCATGAGTTTAGTTTATTATTCCTATTCATGCCATGGAAATCATTCTGATCGTTCCTATTTCATGACTTTCATTCCCATTCATTTCATGGGTATCATTCCGATCATTCCTATTTCATGAGCATCTTTCACTTCTCGACAATACTATTCATTCAGTATACACATTATTCATGCGGGATAAGTTCACGATATTCACGGGTCAGAAGTCGTCTTAACCTGCAGCTTATTCATTATGAATCAAAATGTAGCAGTTTGCTGGAAAATAAATAGTAAATTCTTCGATCATATTATTCATTTGTTACGTGTTTGGCAAGCATATGTGAAAGAAACAATATAAATAATAAATAATATTTATTATTTATATAATAAATTATATAAATAGTTTTTTGAAGTAAACTTGAAAAATTTTAAAATCCTTCTTCCCCGTTTAAACAATAACTGTATTCATGTTGTTGCAGTTACTCAACTGTTCGGCCGCGACCCAGTACAGTTCGATGAGTTGCAGTACAACATCACAGTGAGTGAAGACGCTCCACTCGGGCCATTACTCACGCTCACCGCCATCACCTACCCTGAGGGTGAGTCATATTACCTCATTAACATGGGTTATGGTTAAGCATTCTTTAATTTTAATAATTTACTGGTGTTAAATGCAAATTAATGGTCAAGACTAAAATTGATTGATTCAGTCATTCTAGCATTATGAAACTCTCTAGCATTATTATGAAATAATCTTTTTCATTTAAACACTTTTCGCAATATGTATTCAATTTGTAATTACACAGAGAATTTAGAAATTTGAGTGATTCATTCATTTAATTCATAAGAATTCTGAGTGGACTGTGGCATGAGTGTGCTCGTGACGTCATCATAGTAAGGAGTCTTTTGTATGAATACAGAATAAAGAACAAATATATTCTTTTATTCATACTAAATGCACATTTATATGATACACTCGGTTTAAGTAATCAAATTTGAAACTAAACTGCAGACAAATATCTAGAAGTGATGAATTCAAACCAAAAACCTCACATTTAAACAAAAAAAAATTAGTTTAGTTTTGCACCGCATCAGAAAAAAACCATGTCAGGTGGGGAGAACAAGGTGATTCATCAGTACAAAAAATGCTGTGGTTCCTATCACTAAAGTTTGTCACTAAAGTTTTCCCCTGCAATAAAAATACTGGGGTTTGAGCTCTTGTCACACTGCAGCTCAGTAATTCTTCTTCTCCATCTCACAATAATAACAGTAAAAAGCGAGGCAACCTACTGAGTTGTGAGGAATTGATTTACGGTGTGAGTGTCTGGCGTGTTTTGACATATCGTTCCACGCCATCATGGTGTGTGTATTGCCACGTGAAAAACGATGATTTGTGCTGCCCAAAAGAAAGATGGTTCAGCAAGACGTAAATAATGACCCGGAGGAGAATATACAGAGCCTGTCGTGCCCTGAGGGCAAAGCACTCGCATTTGTCTAGCGGGAAGCTCGTGTCGGGATGTCTGTAATCTCGGCAAGTAATCTAAGCCATGCAAGCTTCGAACCGTGAGCGAGATTTGTGGCCGTAGGCGGTTACAAGTTCTGAGACTGAAACAAGAGTTCTTCATATTGTGGAAGTTGAAGGGGTGGGTAATGCATAATTCAATTATTCATTAATGCGCGGTAAGAAAGCATTGCTGAGAAGAGGTATGTTCGATGTTCCTTTTGGGTTCTTACCTCCGCGCGCGTAAGAAATTTTGCTAAATATTTTCTGTTAGGTAAAAAATATATCGTGTGTAGTATATGAGCAGAAGCATGCACGAACGTGACATGAAGTATAAATTTCTCTCAATTTCTCTCAGCAGAAGCATACAAGAAGTATAAATTTCTCACAATTACAGAAAATAATGTTGACATCGTCAGCAGGTGACAGTTTGAGGAGAACGGCTTTCATATAGTAGAAATTTTTAGCTGCGAACTCTCATAAGAGTCCGATGTCAATCAGGCGTCTCATTCTATTCATTAATCAACCTGTTCGGGTGCCACTTGTCCAGGAGTCCGACAAATATTCGCGGGAGATATAGTATGGCACCACATGACTGGAGAAAAAATTGCTACGGGTTGGTAAGACATGAGAAATACGATAAAGGTATAAGCTAAAACGTCCACCGTTAGGTCGGAGTAGCTCTAACGCTAGTTACATTGCGGCGTGAGCACTTGACAGCTTCGGGGGTCTCTTACTAAGGTTCCTAGCTCTTTAAAAAACTCAAGGCTTCCGCCCACTACTGAGGTCTTGATCGCGTGATGTGTCACGTGATGTTATCCATGCTGACTCAGGTCTACTTTTCCATCAATCTCAAGTGATGTTAAGTCTCAATTATAATGAATGGAATGAGACGTCTGATTGACACCGGACAGAAGTAAGTGAGACCTTCTGTCCGAATAACCCGACCAAAGGACATATCAGTGCTACAGCCAGAAAGTATGTTACTGGTTAGATAATTGGACCCATTAATTTTTCTGAGAGAACCGTTCATGGTAGAGACTCGTCCTGAGCATCATATTATGCCCGTATTGAGCGCATTATATATGCATTGAGCAATAAAATAATCTGCATGCGAAAATAACTAGTGATATTAACCTCAAAGTTAAACGAATACAAAGCGAATGCTTCGCTAGTATTCATGAAGCGCGCTTCAGTCACGGTGGCATGAAGCGCAAGCTAGAGGTTATCAATTAATTGTTTGAGAGAGTTAATTTTTAAATAGACTCTTAAAATGTTCAATGATGTGAATTATATAACTCAGTTAAACGATAATTACTTTATATTCTTATGAAAGACAATGATTAGAGAATTGATATCACTTGTTTGCTCAAATCGCAAATTAACAAAGAATTTAAAAGCAAATAATAGTGAACAAAAATTCATATCTTTGTAGAAAACGTTTCGGAGACCAGCTCGATCGTCAGTTCGTAGAATCTAGAATAAAAAATCAGAAGTCACAAATTAATACATTGAAAGCATAGAACGAAATTAAAACCTAAATTTACAAGTAATAGACGTAGCATATGTAAAAAAACAATCTATTCACAATTTCAAGGGGATAGGAGCTAACAGCTGAATTCAAACTGGGTCTATGTTTAAAAAAGTACAATGATTCTAAAATACGCAAATCTGAAGTATCGGCGGTGGAAGCTAACACCCTAAAGTCACTGTCAGAAATAGGGATATCACACTGCTCGGCGTGAGCGCGCACAGCCGAATGAGGGGGGCGCGATAGCAACTGTCCGGTTCTACAACTCCTGCCCTTATGCTCAGCGACCCTGGAATAAAGATTGCGTGACGTCATCCTGACGTACGTTCTACGTGTAGCACGTGTTGTTATAACTATTTGGTCCCTACTAGCGTATACTTGTCCCTCGTATAGAAATATAGATTTCTTTCTTGGCTAACACTTTAACAAAGCCAGCACAAAATAAAGATTGACATTTGGGAAGTACCGTATCTATTGAACAGTACTATTAATTATCTTTACATAGCTTCTGACGCAGGGTCGAAGTATGGAAAAGAACAATAAATAACTTTCCTACTATCGCGCTCAGGGCAACCTCACTGTATCGCTTCGACATGAATTTCTTGATTTGGGTAACACCAATTTCTGATTGCCTATGCTAAACGCCAACATGCCAGACGCTCTACGGAAGCATCCACGAAAATTACTGCTCACACTCATCAAAAGAATGAGGGGGGAAATTCGCTCAACGAATTTCAAGAAATTCATGTTTAAGTGATACAGTGAGGTTGCCCTGAGCGCGATAGTAGGAAAGTTATTTATTGTTCTTTTCCATACTACGGCCCTGCGTCAGAAGCTATGTCAAGAGAATTAAAAGACTTGTTCCGTAGATGCTTCCCAAATGTCAATCTTCATATTGTGCTGGCAAACAATTTCACAATCGGTTCTTTCTTCAGATATAAAGATATGCTCCCTGTTCATATGCGATCATCCCTGGTTTATCAATATTGTTGTGCACGATGTGCATCTACGTACGTCGGGATGACGTCACGCAATCTTTATTCCAGGGTCGCTGAGCATAAGGGCAGGAGTTGTAGGACCGGACAGTTGCTATCGCGCCCCCCTCATTCGGCTGTGCGCGCTCACGCCGAGCAGTGTGATGTCCCTATTTCTGACAGTGACTTTAGGGTGTTAGCTTCCACCGCCGGTACTTCAGATTTGCGTATTTTAGAATCATTGTACATTTTTAAACTTAGGCCCATTTTGAATTCAGCTGTTAGCTCCTATCCCCTTGAAATTGTGAATAGAAATTTTTTTTTATTATCCGTCTATTGCTTGTAAATTTAGGTTTTAATTTCGTTCTTTGCTTTCAATGTATTAATTTGTGACTTCTGATTTATGATTCTAGATTCTACATTGATTAGTTAATGTTCCGGGATTTGATAGCATCTTGATTTCATCCATTTTTAAGGACGTTCAAAAATTATTCCGAACTTATAAATTATTACCACTCCTCATAGAGGATTGCAACTCCTTATAAAGTATAGCAACGCCTCATAAAGAATAACTACTCATCATATAGTCTTGGTGCTACTAATAATGTATAGCTACCTCTCAGAAAGTTGAAATTATCCTCAATAAGTAAAGAAACACCTCATAAAATACAGCTATGGTGTGTCTACTTCTCATAAAATAAAGCCACTCCTCATAGAGTATAACTATCTCTCATAAAATGAAGCCACTCCTCATAAAGTAGAGCTACCTCTCACAAAATAAAGCCACTTTTTATAAAGTAGAGCTACCTCTCACAAAATAAAGCCACTTTTTATAAAGTAGAGCTACCTTCTCATAAAATAAAGCAACTTCTAATAAAATAAAGCCCCTCCTCATAAAGTAGAGCTACCTCTCATAAAGTAAAGCCACTCATAATAAAGTGGAGCTACCTCTCATAAAGCAAAGCCACTCCTCATTAAGTAGAGCTGCCTCTCATAAAGTAAAGCCACTCCTCATAAAGTAGAGCTACCACTCAAAAAATAAAGCCACTCCTCACAAGCCCAGTAACACGTCCTGCCATATACTTACTCTCAGTAAGAAGCTCTGGCGACGGGAGGACAAAATTTTTCCTTGCAACGCCAATGTCTCCATTAGCGGCTGGTAGGCTTGGTTTGCTTACGTTTACATAATTAAATCTTGAAATCTATTTTTAATTAAATCTTTATTTTTTATGTTTTGAGCAACGGCACCATTTTTCTGAAGGATTCCTTGTGGAATAATTAGGCAAATAATGAGAAAACAATTCGTCCTGTGATATATTTCTGTTAATTAGTTAATTCACGTTAATTAGTAAATTCCTGTTAATTAGTTAATTCCTGTTAATTAGTCAATTCCTGTTAATTATTTAATTCCTGTTAATTAGTAAATTCCTGTTAATTAGTAAATTCTTCGCATCATGTATTTTTTTATATTCTGTTCTACGCTATCATGTTAATTAGATAATTCCTGTTAGTTAATTCATCGCATCGTAGAATTTTGTTTACATTCTGTCTCCAATTCTGGACTCAGCAAGAAGGGTACAAATTTTTATCACTTGCGATGTTGTGCCAGTTGGATGCCTCCCCACATCCCTTCAGGATATCCTTCCCCGTCTTCCCCATCTGCTGAATTGCTAATTCACATTTTTGATCTCGTGACCCCAGTCGTTATTTGAGTGCACCATCCCCTCTAGGGCTGGTGGGGTGCACTCAGATAAATGAAGGGGACATACTGTCCAAATAGCGACACACTTCCTGCACTAAGCAGTGATACGTGTTTTTGCCAAGCCAAAGTGTGTCAGGATGAACCACACACGGACAAAAAGGGAATCCTTATTTGGACAAAGTCTCACCCATTTAACTGATTGTGAAGTAGCATCGATATCCTCAGGGCAGTCTCCTCTCTAGCGCTTGACAGAAATACTTAATTTTTAGTGAGATCTGAGCGAGTCCTGCAGATTGTAGGAACTGAACTGTCATATCCTTCTATGGCTCTCAAAGAATCTCCATCGGAGACTTGAATACCTGAAGGACTTCAATAACAAAACATAAGGACTTGAATAACTGAAGGACTTCAACAACAACGCATGTCCACTGCACTTTTTTGAAAGTTAAATCCAAAACCATATAGTCTCTCGCTTGATTTTTGACTACGGTGATAATTGGTCTGGGAACTCAACAGTCAGCGAAATGTGAAGGATTTTGTCCAAATGACAATGAACTTTTTGCCTATAAGTGGGTCAACCTGACTCTGTTTGGCCTGGTAGAGGGGCGTATCAGTGCTACGAACGCTCTCTGGTCGTGCTGTGGGTAAGAAAGTGTGTCAATATTTGGACAAAATGATCCGTTCATTGCCAATATTACGTTGTGGATTCAGGTAGCGTCCCACCAGGCAAATGGCGTTGAAAGGATGTTGATTACGAGTTTATTTCGTTGAAGCGACGTTCAATTCACGTTAATTCAACGTCAAATGCCTGGTGAAGTCTGAGCTTAGCCAATAATTCTTTAGCTATTGAACTAAATGAATCATTGTATTTCACTTCGCCTGCAGTTGTGCAATGGCTCCTCGCCTGCAGTTATGCAATGTCTCTTCGCCTGCAGTTCTCACCTGCAATTATGCAATGGCTACTCGCCTGCAGTTGTTCTCGCCCCACAGGCGAGTCGGTGCACTACAGTCTGGTCGAGAGCTCGCACCGCCCCTCGTCCAAGTGGTTCAAGATCAACCCTTCGTCTGGCGTCCTGCTGCTCGTACAGCCGCTCGACTACGAGCAGAATAAACGGGTGAGTCGGAGGCATGATGTGTCGGCACTCAGCCTCCCTACTACACAGCCCACTCAGCCTCCCTACTACACACGGGTGAGTCGGAGGGATGATGTGTCGGGTGAGTCTGGAGGGTGATGTTTCGGTGAGTCGGTGGGATGATGTGTCGGGTGAGTCGGAGGGATGACCAAACCGAGCATCGCATATTCTATTCCAGGCAGACAAGAGCATGGCTCAGACAATAACAATGTTTATATCACATAGAACACACCATATACGTATAGTGCATACCGCATAGACCATAAAATACCTTATTTTCTACCACAAAGACCATTACTTTGCTTGATTATACAACATAGACCATAGCACTCCTTGATTATTCCCCATAGCCTATTGCATTCCTTTTTTTCACATATACAGGATGCGCCACAGAAACTTAGGTACTTATCTGAAAGGTCAATAAAAACAAAAGTACTCCAGTTATTGTTTTAAATTTTTTTATTCGAGAAAACAGTATCCCAATTTTTTTTCATACAGTTTTGAAAATTAAATCTCATAAATGACGGCCTCCATTGCGCATAAACTAATGAAGTCGCTTTTTTCATAATGGTTTCCACTCTATGCAGCATATCAATCGGTATTTTGGCAATGACGTCGCGAATGTTGTTCTTGAGGTGTGCTATGGTCCGTGGTCGATCGACATAAACCAGAAATTTCAAATATCCCCATAAAAAGAAATCGCATGGAGTCAAACCTGGAGAACGTGGCGGCCATTGGAGATCGCCTCTGAGAGAGATGAGGGGGTCTGGGAAATGATGTCGCACCAAATTCATCGAGTCTCGTGCTGTGTGTGCTGTGGCTCCATCTTGCTGAAACCACACGTTCCTAAAGTTCATTTCTTCGAGTCTTGGAAGAAAAAGTTCCTCGATCATGTTCCTGTAATGAGCTCCATTAACGGTAACTGCGCGTTCGTTTTCTTAAAAAAATAAAGACCAATTATTCCCATTACCGACGTCGCACACCAGACAGTAACTCGCTCACAGTTAAGTGGCTTCTGGTGAAACTCACGTGGATTTACACCACACCAATAATGCATGTTTAGCTTGTTAACGCAGCCGGAAATGTGGAATTGAGCCTCGCCACTGAAAAAAACGACCGCGTCTTCAGGCAGGTTGTCAACCAGCATTTTACATGCATTTTGAGGGGCAACAAAATCGCGTTCAGTTAATTCTTGCACTACAGCAAATTTATTTGAGAAACAAACTTGGGAACTTTCCCCTTCAGATGCACCCCCTCTCGCCCCTCTACCCGACCAACTAACCGTACAGGAACAGGAATTTTTTCAAATAAGTAAGTTTCTGTGGCGCACCCTGTACCATAGCATTCCTGGATTATACCACATAGACCAGAAGATACCTTATTTTATACCACATAGACTATAGCATTCCTTGATTTTATCACATAGACCATTGCATTCCTTGATTATACCACATAGACCAGAAGATACCTTATTTTATACCACATAGACTATAGCATTCCTTGATTATTGTTTCTTGGGCTTGGGTTCCTCGATTTCATTTATGATTTCAATTCCACGCAAATTTTTCACAATTATTGAAGAAGAGAATTTCTACGAGGCAATCAAATGCTAAGCTTGACGTACTGATTACAAGTCGTTGATATCGTACAATGTACAGGTCCAGGAGTGTGTTCAAAGATTCTTCGCTATTGTACTAGTATTAAAATTTCTTGATCAAAGACTCTTCAATATAGTGCAGGTCATTAGACTTCACAAAACACTTTACCGATATTATGCAGGTCTTGAAACTTATCTAAGAATTGGGGTACCGGAGTTTAAAAGTGTTGAAAACTTTGTCTGATGGGTGTTGACAATTTCCAAATATAGGTACACTTTATAATTCAACATTTTACTATGATTGTTGTTAGTATTTAGTAATCAAGATCATTAAACTGATAATAGTGACAATCCATTTGTTTCAAACGACTGTTCATCGAAGATAAATATTGTTGGTCAAAAAGTTATATAATCAGAACTTCAATGCGGAATCTTCCGTCGTAAGATTCTAATCATCACTGCGAATTTTTTTATCCGCATTAAAACATGAATACACTGTACAATAATATATTTATCAAAAATGCTACAAATTTAACATCCTTCATTATATTTTTAATTTCCTATGTAGATTTTCATCTTGCCTGCTAAATCAGCGTTTACTGATTTGCTTTCAGCGTTTCTCTAAAGTTTGAATTTTGCTTTCTAAGAGAAAATCAAATTTTAACGGCAATTTTTGTTGTGTGTCAGCATTTTCTGTTCCTTAAATTTAAAATTTTATCTTCCACGGAAAATTCATATTTTAATGACGTTTTTATTGCCTTTCATTCGTGTATCAGCATTTTCTGCGAGTGTCGGCTGGCAGCGACCGCGGCAGCGGGGAGACGCTGGTGCTGGTGAGAGTGACGGATGCTAATGATCATGCGCCGGTGTTCCAGCGCCAGCATTACGAGACCCAGATCACTGAGGAGGATGATAGACACATCCCCAAGCCCGTGCTGCAGGTAAGAGGATGATAGACACATCCCCAAGCCCGTGCTGCAGGTAAGAGGATGATAGACACATCCCCAAGACTGTGCTGCAGGTAAGAGGATGTTTCGGATAAGATGAAGTTTGATATTCGGATAAGATGAAGTTTGATATTCGGATAAGATGAAGTTCGACAATTTGTATAACTCAATGGAAGAAAACACAAGCAAATTCTATTTTCCGACCTAAATCTGGAGATGAGACGATCGTAAGTGGCATATGTACATTAAGATAACCAATATGGCGGTCAACTCCTCTGAAGTGTACAGAGACTTAGGTTTTTTTTTTTTGTTATCAACATTAAAGCAGCGCTAAGTCAGTAGTAAAGTTTGCTTTGTGGTCAGAACAAGAAGGAAGAATGAAATTATATAGAATAGAACAGGATAAAATATGATAGAAAGCAAAGGAAGATATTGCTTTATGGAGTGGTTCATTATTTAATAATTTAATAATATCATTATTATATTGTTATTATGTTATATTCAATAATATAATGAAAATATTTAATGCTATCCAGTAAATGTAACTCGGCTACTTCGGAGACATAATTAATTAGTGTGCCTGATTCACAGTCGCAATGCTTCATGGTCACTGGTGGAAAAATAAATTTCTCCATTTCAGAAACAATAAAATAAATTTGAATCTGCACCTAAACACGTTTTTATAAACTATTGATTGAAATATTGTTGGAAATGCAAAAAAAAATTCTTGCGGTTATCAAAGGCCTTGAATGACTAAACCTCGGCACATTTTTTCCGAAATAAGAGCTCACTTCCAATCTGCGATTCCCCATTTATTCCTATGGGAATCCCAGCTCAGCTTCGAAAAGCGTAAACGATATACGCTTACGCTCCATTTAGGCGTATATATAGCAGACCACATCGTCCGTGTTCCTGAACCTATCAATAAATCTGTCGGGACTCTCAAGTGACGCGACAAATTTACAGGAATTCTCCAAAGAAAATTCAGGAAGTCTCCAAATTTATTGGAAATCTGCAAGGAACGGCGCGTCAAAGCTCAGCGGCAGCTGGCGCTTGTAGAACATACAAATAATCCAAGTTGCTGTATAAAAATCCAGCCTGTTAACACACGTATGAAACAAATACAACTAGTCGTTTGAAACTACACATCCTGTCATCATACTAATCATCCCACTTGCATCATCATATTTCCACTACCACAAAAACTTCATTATTCAGTGGGGCTTAAAGCATTAATATGGTTGGCAACAAAATCCGGCAAAAATGGATATATAATTATTGTTCCGTTAGACCCGTCCAGAATATTATTCAGTTCTCTGACCACGAATATTCTAGCATCACCGCCGCCATATCAAATCATATCAAGAAAAGAGAAGCCAGTAACCATCATTGCTCTGTCCCGAGAGGAATCAGTTAGGAAGACAAATCCGACATCAAGTCATAAGATTTTTTTTAGTTTTTTTTTTACTCCTAAATATATTCATGCCGCAAGCGGCCTCAGAGCCGCTGCCACGCAAGGCTCGTTCTGTCACTCAGAAAATTAATGGGTAATATTGTCCAAATAGTGTAACTTTCTTTCCCACAGCACGATTATAGTGCGGAGGATGTGCTATATTTTGTCGGGCCAAAATAGGTTAAGATGAATCACAGAAGGGCAAAAATGTGTATCGATATTGGACAGTCTAACTTATTTCTTTGAGTGCGTTTTGTTCCGCACTTTGATGACTTGCAAGCCGCGGTGTCCGTTAAGCGGATCAAAAGTAGGAACGCTTCCGGGTCTATGATCGGACGATTTTTAGTATGATATGAATGTTTTTTAATTTGGAATTTTGGAATATTGTTTCTACACTATGTACCCTGGGCTGTTAGTCATGCAGCACAATGAGGGTTGCCAGTTGGCATAAAAAAAAGCCAAATCCGTGAACATTAAAGGCCAAAAAGGCCAACATCTCATTGTACAACATAGTATATTAATTATTTTGTAGGTTCCGGTGTAAAAATTCCATTTATTTTTGTTTTAATTTAATAAGGAAGTAGCCCTATCATTAAATTTAGCCGGCCAGCGGAATTGAAAAAAAACTAAATCGCGGAATTAAAAAAAACGTCTTAAAAAAAGACCGTCCAGCAGCCCTGTGCACAATCCGATTGAAAAAGTTCAAATATTCATAAATAGCATCTAAATTTTTCCAAGTTAAGAACCAGTTTATGTATGACAATGAAAAGAGCTACGTTGAAACAGTGGGGCGCGATATATTAACCATCCTCAACAGTTTTCAACAATATATAGTGTTTTCCATAATAACTATCATTATTCAAATCTAAAATGCAATGCCCTGGCAATAACTATTAACGGCAATGTCCTGAAGAAGCCATTCATAATCAGTTATTCTTTGTAATTTTAATTTTATTTACTCAATGCATTATTTGACCAGACATCAGACCCAAGCGCTTCTGCCTCATGCATATCTAAGATAAGTTTTATGAATGCTTAAATTGTTCCAATGTACTCCTTCAAATGAATCTGATTCTGGAATTTCTAAGCATAACTTTAATCC